TGTGTAATTGAGTCGCAATTAAATGAAAAAAAAAGGTTTTTCGTATTTTCATTTTCTGGATTTTGAACATTTTGATTTAAAAAGCTTTGGAAAGCATGCCAGCTTGTCTGCAGCTTATTATATGCAACACCATCAAATCGAAGCGTTGACTATATAGACGAATAATTTTCAAGTTTTCAATGAATTACGATCATTCTAGCGATTTTGAAAAAATGCCATTACTTTGCGCGAAAGAATTCATCACATCGACTTTGGCCAAAATTCTACAATTTGTAGAGAGTTTTGGTGTGCTTATGTTTTTCCTATACAAAGTTGCTTATCGCTTCTAACAAGACTTTGCAAGCAGTACTATTTGGTGCAGGGCAAGCGTTACGTATGCTTTCCTTGGAAAAACACCAATCGATTATGGTTTATTGATTTTTCTTGTTTTTCGTTATAGATTTCTATTTTCTTGTTTTTTGGTTGCTTGCAAAGTAGCATAGTATTTTTAGCGTATTCGTTCTTTGAACATTTTTTTTCTGAATTTAGCGACTACTGGGGGGTGTTCGAAAGCTGAACTTCAGTCACAACAATGTGACGGATATTGGACCTTATCTCCAACATCTTACCTGCCTTACAGAATTGGATTTGTCTTCGTAAGCTTTCTCACCTATTGATTTTATAGACAAAATAGCAGAACTACAAATTTTCAGTAATGGAATCACTTCAGTGCAGCACTGGAATGAAATGTTGGGTAATTTGAAAAAGCTGGTTCTAGCCAACAATGCAATAAAAGATGTATCTGGTGTGTGAATGATCCCAATCTATAACACTCTTTTTCTCTAATTTCTCGTTTAGGATTAGCTCGCCTTTACTCCTTGGAATTTCTGGATTTACGGCATAATGACATAGATACGGTGGCTTCGGTGTACCCTCTAGGTGGACTGCCATGTTTGGAGGTTCTCCATTTGCGTGGCAACCCCGTTCGGAAAATGGTAGAATATCGAACCAGAATTTTGGAAGCTTTTGGTGACAGGAGCTGGGAGGTGAACATAAGAGCTACGCTATTGTCTCGTTGAGAAAATAAAGTTCAACTTTAGGTAAAACTTGACGGCAGAGCGCCAGATGATCGTGAGAAGGATACCATACGATTGCGTTTGGCCTTGCGCCGTGCTAAGGAAGAGAAAGAAGAGAAGGAAAGAAAGCGAAGAGAGAAGATAGAGGAGAAAATACGGTAATTTCATTATAATAGCTATCTAAGATTTCTAATGGAGATCATTGAGCAGAGTTTTTTTCTCATTCTTTTCATCTGCATGCTTTGCGAAATTAGCCTTTTCTAACTATGCTTTGGGAGGAAAGAAAATCTACCAATTTCGCACCTTACACATAATTTTTTTCAAGCAGAAAAAAAACCGACGAACCTTCACAGCCTTTCACTCCATAGTGGTATTCCTAAATGATTGACTATGATTCTGTTCAGATAAAGGATAATTCCTTAAGAGCTACTTTTATTAACCGTAATTTGGTTAGGGTGCAGGTCCTTTTTCTACATCCATTATGTTTATTAAAAATATTACACCCAGGAACTACCACATCTTAAAAAAATGACTAGTGGCAATATGTGTATTCAATGACGACATTTGACTTGTCCTTGTTTTTCATATCACCGCTTTTATGTAATTAACTGGATATGTTACAGGTACATATCTGGAGATGTTGGTGTGTTCGCAGACGAAGTCGAGTCTAGCTAGTTTATCTTACCAAATAATTTCTTGCACTGCATAATTACATCTCATGTCCAAAGTGATATATTTATTACAAATCAATTTTCTTCCTACATATTCATTATTGCTACTTTTTTATTTGCCCATTTGTCTCAGTTTTCAAGTAATTTTGTGGTGCAATATGTACATATTTTGCGATGTCTAAACTTCATGATTTGTGATTTCTGTTCATCAAATTCAAATAGTTACAGTACTTGAGTAATTTGCCCTAGTGCTTTCTTATTGCAAACCTTTTCAACTGTGATATCTGGAGACTTCACTTCAACCTAGGGCTTTTGTTCCGCGAATCCGGTGATCATTGTCATTATTGATATTTATTTCTTCTGGATAAAAATAGAGATTTAGTTTCATATCGTTTCATTTGGTTTT